ACTAGTAAGTAGTAGTTACTACATAGATATTATTATTATAGAGATACTTACTTATTATACTATAGTATATATATACTATATATATATATATATATATATATATATATATATATATACATACCCCCCAAAATCATTTGCTTTGTAACAGACAATATCAAATGCAAGGCATTTTTCACAGTAATATTATTAAATTCTCAGAATTATATTTTTCTTCATTGAATTTTTATTAATCAATTTTGAATAAATATAAGATTTAAATAAAAAATGCTTTCTTGTACTTTATGTATACTTTGTGGCTGAATGTGAAGTACTGTAGCCTCAATATTGTGATTTGTGACACAAGTCATAGTTTTAGCATTTCACTTATGTAGTTTCTTTCAAATTATCTGAAACTGTTAAGCATTTGAAACAAAATCTAATAACTTATGGCACTGACTAAAATGTCTCTGCTTATGAATTCTTAAAAATCCTTAACCTATAAAGTGTTTTTCTATGGCTTTCATTTGTGTAACAGTATATAAAAAAAAAGATGGCTTTTCACTATGTTTTACTACACAGTGCCAATATTCACCAAATATATATATATATATGTATAATAACCAGACAGATAGCGAACACATGCCAATACTTATAAGTATGCTGTCACTAAAGTAGCTAATACAGTCTCCAAATATACACATGTATTCAAAAATTAATATACATAAGAATATAAATTACCAGATATGAAAAACTGTCTCAACAATTACCAACCATAAACCAATAGTTACAAGATATATGATAACTGTCTGAAACTTTATTTTACAACAGTAATATAAAGACTAATTAGCTGTGAAATTTGTTTCAGTTTTATAAGTAAGCTTACACATGCCAAAAATAAATTTGTATATATGTATATATATACACACACATCTACATATGAACTACCACTACAAAAAGCTTCGTTCTTCTAGAATAAACCATTTCAGTGATAAAACATCCACACACAGATTTCTTTTTTACAAACTACATCACAGGTAACTAAAATAATGATGTTATATTGAGAATGAATAGGTTATAAACAGCTTTGAAGAATAATGTAGTAGTACTTTTATAGGACAAAAATAGCAAATTAGAAGCAGAAATCAAGGAAGCAAGACAGGCATTGGACAAAGTTGGGGGAAAGATTGCTTTGGAGGAATGTAAGAATGAGTGCTGAGTTTACAAAAATATACAACATTGAAAAAGTTAAAGCTATAGAAATAGGTTCAGTTAGCACTTAGATACCAGTGTCTAGTAAATTTGAACCTCTTATTCCTTGAAATGAGGAACAAGATGATCAAGAAATTTACATTATGGGGGATTCTCTCTCATTAAGTACAGTGATAAAGTTATCTATAGCTGAAAATACAGAAAGAGCAGGAAACAAATTTAATCGCCAGGTGCTAAAATACACAACAATATACCACATGATGGTTTAGTTGATGGTATGAAAAAAAAATTCTCCTTTTGTAGTACACACAGCAATGAAACATAATAGAAATTATAAAGTAGAACAACTGCTTAAAAACTATAAAGAACTCTTTCAGAGGTTTTGGGATAAAAATAGATATTTCCCTATTAGGAGTGCTCTCTAAGGCTAGATGCAAAAAAGGAATCACTCAGCAGGATTAAGGCCCAAATTAAAGCCTGTAGGAGTATGCTTGAAGCAACATAGGGAATGGTTTTCTGGGTAATAGTGAATTATAAGTTACAGATGGACTCTACTTATGTAAGTTAGGTTGTAGGATGTTTGGGGAAGCTCAAAATATATTCATTACAGATAGTTTACAGTAAATATGCAAAATGTTGAGGGAAACTGGGAATAAACAAATTGACAGAATAACTAGAACATTATGAAGATTAAGAAAGAAAAGAAATGGAACATAATAAGTTAAATAATATTCTTTGAAGACAACTTTGTTGTTAGATTTGAAGATAAACACAGTTGATTCAAGTATAAGCTTAATTATTCAAGTATTAGGAACAAAATGAGTTCAGGCTCTGGTTGAAAATGTAGACGACAACATAATAGGACTGTTACTGAAACTTGATTAATTTTGGATAGCAATGATAATAGGAATATTCTGAAATTATAGAGTTATATAATAGTGACAGACATTTTAAAAGAGTGAGTGGAATGGCTCTTTATATATATATATATAACAACCACTATCTGTTGGTAACACTTAAGTTGTCTTGGTGGTTAGAGTGCTCAAACCTCAAGTGGAAATCTTGTATTCAAATAGGAGTAGTTAGAATTTTATATATATATTTTCTAACTGATAAGTGATCGTGTTTAATGCAAGCTCTTTCAATATTTGGAAAAATAAGAATACCATGATATTCTAAATTAATATCTGTCACCATTGGATTTCAAAGACTGAATGTCAAAGTGTCTCAGTGGTTACAGGGCTTGACTCTTATGTTGAAGTCTTATGATAATGTTCAAATCACAGCCAAGTCATGATTTATGTTAATTTATATTTTTCTAAGAAATGATCATGTTTACAGCAAGCTCCTTCAATACCATTATTGATTGAATCAGGGACCTGAGATGTTGGTTAACATTTGAATTAAAAGTTGACATGTTTACAGCATCTAGCCACCTCGGTTTTTCATTTCAACTGAACACTTCTCACACCATCTATAAAATAAATTCTTAACTAAAATTCTGAATAAAATTAAAAATAGTTCAGAAACAGTGTAAGAAAGAAAAATCTGCAGATGGATGTCACAACAAAATATAATGAAAGGATAGCAAAAATTAGGATAACTGAGGCATAGTAAAAACAATTGATAGAGTCAAATGAAGCTCCTGAAGAAACAAATTGAAGAAGACAAATTAATGCTGAAAAACATGGAAATGGGTTCTGGCCCCCTATATCTTCCCTGTGCATTGAACAAGTACATTAGCTAGTGTATGTATATGTGTGTGTGTGTGTACATTTGAAATGAACTGCAGCCATTGGTATTAAAAGATGTCAAATATTGTTGTTAACAGGTTGAATCCATATGGTTTACAATCAAGGTTTCAAGGATAAAAGTTTCCAATAACAATTATTTTAGGCCAATTGATAAGACAGATGAGATCAATGAGAAATTGTATACTAATTTCAGGGTTATTATTAATGAGAATATTGATGCAATATTTATGGGAGACTTTAATTTTAGACTCAGTGATTAGAAATGTATAGAATTAAAGTGATTCAAGATAGTCTTCTATACCACAGAACCAACCAGACAGAATGCCATTTTAGCTTTACTGTCAGTCACTATTGAGGATATGGTTGCAAGAATTGAAGGGAACATGTAGAGAATAGTGATAACTGCACAATTAGGTTTGTTGTTTTGCTACACATTGAAATAAAAAAAAATTTAAACTTTAGTTTCAAGTTTTCAGAAAGCCCATTTTGAGGCTATGAGACAAGATTTATCATTAATGAATTGAAAGTCAATGTGAGACAAATATGAAATTTTTAAAAATAAGTTCGTAAAACAAAAAAAAGAATAACAGTGTTAAACACAATTGGCTTACTAAAGACATAAAAATCAGGAACAAATGCGTTAAGTTTAAATCACAGATAGGATGAAAGATTTAATGAACTACAGGAAAACTAGAAATTTCAGTAAAAAGAAATTAAGAAATCAAAAGGCTTTATATAAAACATTTTGGCCAATAATATTAAAATTAACAACAATAATTATATAAGTATGTTAAAAAGTGAGAAAAATGTTAGAATAGGGATTAAGCTCTTAAAAAAATACTGATAGCAATGTTTTTGTTGAAAACTGTGAAATACTGAGTTTTTAACTGTTTTCTTATCTTTTTTACAAGATATTAACAATATTCCTGATCCTGAGCATCCTATGGAAATTATTGGAATTGACTTGAATCATGGAGATATTAATTCCTTGGTGGTACATTGAAAGACTAAAAACAAAGCACTCGAACAAGATGAGGCTTTCTCTATGGTTTTAATTAAGATCAAAAATCAGTTATGTTAGACTCTCTCTCTTTCATTTTTGGTAAGTCAATAGACAGCGAGCAGATGCCTGAGAATTAGAGTTGTACACGTTACTCCTATTTCTAATGCCAATGATAAGAGTTACCCTAGAAATTATAAGTCAGTTAGTCTTATTTCCATAGTAGGAAAAAGTTTATAGAGTCTGATAAAAGAAACTTTACAAAATCATCTAACGAAATGTGATGTCATAAAATAAAACCAACATGGCTTCATTAAAGAGAAATCTACCCTTACTAATCTGTTTACTTTTTTTATAGATGTTATATGTTGAGACAAGATTTTCCATGATGGAAAAGGTGTACTTAGATTTTAAAAAACTTTATATAATGTGCTACACTAAAGATTAAAGAAGAAATTATATTGATGGGAATTGGGAAAAGCATAGTTAATTGGATTGTAGGGTAGGATGTTGAAAAAAAAAGCAAAGTTGTTGGCAATAGAATCCAGTCATACTGGACCCTTTTGTACTAGTGGAATGCCTCAAAAGTAAGTCCTTTTTTTTTTAATGGTATTGATAGGAGCATAATTAGTAACTTAATAATGTTTACTGATGATGGAAATCAACTCAATACATGCTGAAGAAAAGGATCTTAGCATAATTCTGGAGAAGTCATTCAAACCATCGAAGCAATGCTCTGCTGCTAGTAGTAAAACCAATAGAATTTCAGGGTGTATTTCTAGATATACT